AATTTATAGAGTTATAAAGTAGCTTCCATAGAGTCAAATCAGATAATCCAGTAGAGTTTACTCTCTATACTGCATGGTTTTCCACTAAAGCACAGTGTTTTTTTGTATTGTTTTGTTTTGTTTTGTTTCCCTTATAGTACTCTATCCCTAAAGGCACCATACCATCAGTGACTCCCTACTATCAACAGAAAGAAGTCCAAATTCATTAGGTAGACACTCACATTTTAGCTTCAGCCTCTTTCAGTGTTTTCTGTTATGCAGTCAGCACCCTTAAGCCCTACATTATTCAGCCTTTATTCCCAAATTCTACTAATCTTTCAAGTCCCTTTTCTTGTGTATTGACCATCTGCTGTAATCGACAGTAGTTCTCAAACTTGACAGAACATCAGAATTACCTGGAGAGCTGATTAAAACACAGATTTCTGGGTTCCACCCATCCTTTCATCCAGCAGAGCTAAGGTTGAGCCTGAGAATTTGCATTTCTTAAAAGCCTGGGTGGCTCGATCAATAGTTAAGCTTCTGACTAGATTTCTGCTCAGGTCAGGATCTCAAGGTCCTGGGATGGAGCCCCACCTCAGGTTCTGCACTCAGTGGGGAGGCTGCTTGTCCTTCTCTCTCCCTTTCCCTCTGCCCTTCTCCCTGCTCTCTCTCTCTCAAATAAATAAAATAAAATCTTAAAAAAAAAAAAAATCCCAGATGATGCTGATGCTACTGATCTAAAGACTGAGAACTACCTGCTCAGAGGAACTGTGTAAAAAACTATAGATCAGATTAATGAGACATAGACCCAGCCCATTAGGAGGAATTCACAATCTAATGGAAGTGTCAAAAGCCTGGCTCCCCAAAATATCACTAAAACCACCTTTTAGTAAGACAAAGCTGAGTTAGTACTGAGAAAAGGAGAATACCACTTCAACAGAGCCTTAGTAGGGCTTAGAAGGTGGTTTGTCAGGGGAAGGCAGGCAGAAATAGTTGGTATATTTGAGATTTTCAAGTTTAAGGCATGTCTTTCAATGGTTAGGATTGAGTAATGATCATGATATATATGATAATTTATGATATAATGTTTTAGTATTGATAGAATAAGATGAGTATTTGAGGCAAGGGGTTCAAAGAGTTCTGATGTGTGAATTTGTTGGCTTTTTCTGTTAATCTTGATGTGTCATTCGGGATGTTTCTGGAATACACCAGATGACAGTAGTGTAGTAAGGTCATATTAATGTAGACAGTCAGGTGTACTAATAGTTTCAGAGACAGAGAAACAAATAAAACAGAAATATAAACAAATAATTAGTGTGGTAAGATAAGTATAATTTAGTCACAGAGCCCTTTGGGAGAAAATACACAGAATCTTACAACCTCCCTGCAATCTGCCACTGCCAGGAATTCTAAGATCTTTTGAGTGTCCTACTTTGGTTTATCTTTGGTAAATCGAAGAAAAAGCATTATGTTTACAGAGGCAATGTTTCTCCTTGTTTCTTTTCTTTCTCTCTTTATACTATTAACATCCCCAGGCCAGACATGCATATTTACACAAATGTATTTTACAAACACTCAATATCAAGTTTTGGATGAGTGCAAAGAATTCATATTTATTAAGGATCAACTATATGATGCATGCAATGCAAGTGTGTGTGTACATATATTTCAATTAGCTGTATATTAAATTTTTGTAGTAATTATCTTTATCCCCTTGCTCATGCAGATGATTCTTATTGGGACCTTAAGGCTATATAGACCCCTGGATATGGCTCTTTTCTATATAATTTAGAACTCATGGTCTCTTCTTTTTGGGAGAGATAAGTAGTGAGCGTGATGATTTTCAAGCACAATAGTCCTCTATTTAAGAATAGTAGAAATGAGCATATATTTTTCAAAGCTTGAGTAACAAGTGATTTTTGCTAAGTAACTTAAGCTCTAACCTTGGGTGGCATGAAACTGACATCTGTTACCTTGCAAATCAGTTTTTAGAAATACCCTAAAGTGAGTATAATAAAGTTACATCTGAGAAAAACAAATTAAATCTTTTGAAATTAAAATTCTGGCACATGATTTAAAGTTAAAGCTCAAATTCCTGAAGAAGTCCTTAAAACTCTTTGTACCAAATACATCCTGTGTTTGATTATAATACTTGAAAGAATATCCAACATGCTTTTCAACAGGTTCCAAAATCAAACAAGAAAACATGTATCTTATAAAGTACATTTACCTAGATTTATTCATCACAAGCTAATATGCATGTTTTTTTTAAAGATTTTATTTATTTATCTGACAGAGAGAGAGAGAGAGCTCAAGCGGGGGGAGCGGCAGGCAGAGGGAGAGGGAGAAGGAGGCTCCCTGTTGAGCAGGGAGCCCGATGCGGGGCTCGATCCCAGGACCCCAGAATCATGACCTGAGCTGAAGGCAGCTGCTTAACCGACTGAGCCACTAATATGCTTGTTTTATAAAATCATTTATAAATCCTTTATAAAATTCATTTCAGTATTCTTTGACTAAAGTTTTGAGAAAACATCTGCAAGGTAGTGCAACTTTAGAAGTTATCAAAAGCTTGCCATCATGCTAATGGCATTCACAACATACAAATCTGCCAGCTAAAGAAGCATCGTCCCATTAGCAATAAACCATTTGGCATGCAGCTATCTTCTCCCTCTGCTATGTGGGCTTTTATCACACCTTTCTTTCAGTCCCATATCTTCTCTGTACTGAGATGAAGAGGCACCAGGAGTAGTAGATGCGTGATAATCTCCAGGCACAACTTACTAAAGTGCAAATGCAAAAGAATATTACACATTATTGTAGCTAGACACAGGATGTAATAAGGCTTTCTGGAGCACCTGGGTGGCTCAGTCGGTTAAGCATCTGACTCTTGGGTTTCAGCTCAGGTCATGATCTCATGGGTCATATGGGGCTCCCCACTCAGTGGGGGGTCTGCTTGAAGAGTCTCTCCCTCTGCCCCTCCCCCATGTGCTCATGCACGGAGGGTTACCAATGGGATGCTCTTATGGGCCAGGCCTGGAAGTAGCACATATGACTTTTGCATATCTCCCCCCCTCTCAAATAAATAAATCTGAAAGAAAGAAAGAAAGAGAGGAAGGCGTTCTGAAGACAGACTATAAAAGTTGCTAGAGGCATGATGCTGTTATGGGGTTACTTAATCTTTCCCAACATCCACTAGATCTGGGCTTCTCAGCCTGGGCACTAGTGACATTTGAAGCCGGATGACTTGAGCATTGTAAGAGCTTAAACAGCATCCTTGGCCTTAACCTACTAGATGCCAGTAGCACATCCTCAGTTTGATAACCAAAAATATCCCCAGACATTGCTAAATACTCCCTGCAGGTAGAGTTGGCAGCTTTAATAAGTGAAAAGAGAGGATGCCCAGGTAAAATTGAATTTCTGATAAACAGCAAGTAACTTTTTCATTAAGTATGTCCTGTGCAACAGTTGGTACAGACTTGTACTAAAAAACTTATTCGTCATTTTTCTGAAATTCAAATTTAACTGAGAGTCCTATATTTTAATCTAGAAAGTTTTGGGGGAGGCAAAATTGCCCATGACTGAAAACCCCTGTGCTGGAGTATCACTAAGTTAAAAGCAAACACTCAAGAGACTCTTGACTGACAGTGCTGCTTTCCTTAACCTCTCAGACCCCATAACCTTGTTTGCAAAGAGGGGGTTCATTAACTTCCCTTACAGAGTGGAGATGAGGTATAAAGAAAATAATGTATGAAAAAACTCTTAGTACAGTCCCTGGCATAGTAAACAATTGATATATGTTCATTACTGACAATCCCTCACAAGATGGTGTCATAGTATTTACTGATGTCTGGACTGAATTTTCACTAACAGTAAAGACTGTATTACAGAAACAACAGGAACCCTGCAAGTGATTCTCAATCCTGACTGCACATTGAATTCACCTGGGGAGTGTCCTTCCCTGATGTCTGTGACCTACCTGTGAGAAATTTGGATTTCATTGATCTAGAGTGTGGCCTGGCATTGGGATTTTCAAAAGCTCCACAGGAGTCCTAAAATGTGGAGCCAAGGCTGAGAACCACTCTTTGAGAGAAAAGTATTAGAAATTGGTAGTCCTTAACAAGGAAGAGAGGAAATAAGCTAAACTTAATTATATCTGATTCTTGGGTTGTAGAAAATTGGGTTAGGATCAGATTTAGAGAAAAGACAGACATGATTTCAGTCATTCAACAAATATATCTGTGTGCCTACTATGTGCCAGGCCATGTTCTAAGCAGTAAAGGGAGTCCCTGTCCTTGTTCAATGATAGTAGGGAGGGACAGATAATAAACAAATAAGACATTTTAATCTAATTTCAAAGACTAGGACTAAGGCCTTCATGAGAGACGGTGGCATTCCAAAAAAAAAAAAAAAAAACAAAGTCATGAATAATCTTAATGGGAAAGCAAAATGGGGAGGAAGCAGCATGACTTAACAAGATGTTCTCTGAGTTTAGCTCTCAGATGAGATGAAAGCACGAAGGACATATTACCAAGGACAAGTGAAAGGATGGCATAAAACTGTAAAAATAGTGTCAGAAAGGCCAAAACAGAGTGAGGTTTTAGAAAAGTGAGGTTTAGAAACAGTAAAGCAAGAAGGGCCATTCTGTTGAAAAGGGAAGTCCTAGACTAAAAGAGAACAAGAAGGAAATGTGAGGCTCTCTTTTTGAGGAAGATGTGCTCTAACAGAAAGGCAGAACAAGCGTAATGCCTATTTTGCTTTATTTTTCGCAAGAAGAATGAACTACCAGAATACAAAACAAAAACAGTGAAATGGACATGTTTAGGCTAAGGTAGGTGAGAATACAGTGAAAGGCCACCCACATCCACTTTACATGAATTGTAACCTCTTGGTCCAGAAAACTGAGTTAGGATATTTTCCTGTGATATTTTGGTAGTAATGATAAGTGTATTTTTTGATAATTACATTCTCTTTCATAACAAACAGCAAAATACATATATAATGATTTAAATACCATAGAAATTTATTTCACGTTCAAGTCCAAAATGTTCTTGAGTGGTGTGTGTGGCTCCCCTCTAAGGATGGATTCAGGGACCCAGGTTCTTTCGAGCTGTGGCTTTGCCATCTTTAATAAATTCAGGTCTCCATGCTCATCTGTTTCCAGGCTATGAAAAGGAAAAGACCACGGAGGGTTACCAATGGGATGCTCTTATGGGCCAGGCCTGGAAGTAGCACATATGACTTTTGCAAGCCTTCCACTGGCTAGAACTTTGTCACTTGGCCACCCCTGATCAAAAAGAAAGCTGGGAAATGTAGTGTGCGCAGGAAGAACAGTAATCGGGTTTGATGACAGCTAACCAGTCTCTACGCAGATAATAGGAGATCTGCCAGAAAAATGTAGCTAGAAAAATAATTCAAATTTCAAAACATGGGGTTGAAATGGAGTTGAAGGATATAGAAACAACATAGGTTTGAAACCACTTGGGAGGGGAAAAAAGAGGGGGTCTGTACCTCATCTTCTTCTGCATATTAGAAGAAATGCACAATATTTTTGATAAATGAGAACTGACTGATCGTATCATTTAGTGGGTTCATACTTCTTCAGATAACTGAGTCCAGGGAATGGTAATGACTGTCAACCATGAAGGTGGTCTCTTGTGGTGTGCCTTGGGCCTCGCCTTCCCCGTGTCTCATTAAACATTTCTGTGAACAGCTTGAACGGAGACAAATCTGTGGCTGACTCAGTGAAAGAGATATTGAATGGTAACTGTGGATCCAAGAATCAAGAGTAGTTTCAAAAGGATCTCAGTAATCTAGAACCTAGGTCAACAGAATTTTTCTGAACATAGCAAGGGAATAAATATTTTAGGCTTTTGGGCCCTAAGGTTTCTGTCACAACTAGTCACTGCTGCTGCTGTAGCCCCCAAAGCAGCCACAGACAATACAGAAGTGAACCGGTGCGCCTATGTTCCAATAAAACCACATTTACAAACACAGGCTGAGGTTGAGGGGGAGGAGTTCTGATCCACAAGGTTTCTCAGGCATCCAGGTTGTTGCAGATGGCGTCCCCATCTAGTAGCTGTACGGTCTGGAGCAGGTAGTATCCTTTGTGGCTGAAACAGAGGCAGAGGCATCGGAGTGGGAAACATTGTCTGGATCTTAAACAGAGGCCATTATTTACACACATGAGTGTAAAACACATATATCACTTCTGCTCAGTATTTGCCAAAACTAGTCTTATGTATGGACTTATTTCAGAAAGTAGTGTGATTCCCATGAACTAAATATGCAGAAGCACCCGGAAGAGCTACAAAGGAGCAAATCTCCAACATGGCTCATAATTGGAAAATGTAGGCTCCTGAGCTCCACCTTATAGCCCGGGAATCAGGATCTTTGGGATAGAGTTGGGAAATATTCATCTTGAAAAAGCTTTCACAGCCGATTCTCATTATCAACAGGAAGCTGCTGCTGTGAACAAGGAGTGTTTATTTAAAGTAGAGGAAAAGCAACAATTAGATCTGTGGATTTAAGATTACCCTGGCTGCAAGTGTTGGATTCAAGAGGGGAGAAACTAGAAGCTGGGATTTCATGTCACAGAACATACAGGGTTTAATGAGCAAACATAAATACATGTGCTTATATATCACGCAATGTGTTAGCAGGACCAGCTCAATCTGAGAGCCTAACACCATTGTTACAAAATTTCTCTTTATATTTTAGGAATCTCCTCCCACTCCTTCCTTACTCTCAGAAAACCAGTAAGATAGGCTCAAAGAGGCCTTGTCAACTCATTCAATAAATGTTTTGTATGCCACTGCTGCTGATGCTGTTGGTTGAATAGAGCTAGCTCAGCACCCAGAGGAGTCCCTGGATAGGGACAGGGGAGTGGGATGCGTGGGTGTGGCCTGCTTCTCTCTTGAGAGGTGGCTGGATGTGGTCAAACTTTCCTTCCTGCCTGTTAGGACAACACAGAATATGGTTATATTGCTGTCTCTGCTGCTTTCTGAGAAAATTGAGATTTAAGAGATCTGCAATGGGAGAAAATAATCAGTGCATGATTCTTTTGAAAATTAAACCTATCCAGTTAGTGCTGATCATTTAAAGATTGACCATCCAAGTTTGGGTTTCTCTTTCTATATGCTGCCTGAATTTTAGCTTCTGTCCCAAATGCTATTTGCGATGGGGACGTGGGGAGTCAGGGAATCTCTGTACACTTTGGGAAGAGGAGTAGGTTCTCTTCCTTTCAAATATTATGCTCAGTACTTATCAGTTGTTCATGTACCATGGCTTGAAATAAGTGGAATATTGATAAGAACTTGTCATTGCTGCTGAGCACTTTCTTTAAGAGAGATGGATGAACTTGTAGTCAGGTTCTCTTTTTAATGGCATGCTTTGTTTTTTTCTTGCATTGATAGAGCCCAGGGTTCAGGTCCCCCCCACCAACAGGAAAAAAAAAAAAAAAACCTAATTAGCAGCTCTAAGTTGAAGCTAGAAATTGGCACCTTGGTGTAAAAGTAATAACTAACAACAGGGTTAGGTTTCTCCCAAATTATTTTGCTCTTTCTTTTCATCTTTGCCTTTACGTTTTTTAAATACATTAAAAAAATACAAAGAGAGGAAAATTATTTCTAATACATTCTAACCTAAAATCACTCTAAAACCATAACTAAATATAACTTTAAAATATTTAATATTAATACTAAAATTAATATATTAAAATAAAGCATTTAATATACCACACATCCAAACATTTCACTTATCAGCTTTTTTAGGTTAAGAACGTGAAACATCAGAATTCTATTCAATAAACACAAATAAGAAGTTGCAACAACATATAAAGACCAATTATAGAACTAAGAGAAAAGTGGAACAAGGCTGGAGAGGAAGAATCCAAAAAGATAGAGACTAAGAGTAGACTACTTCATGGCTATGCATGTAGTCCCATCTGTAGAAATAAATACTGTACTGCAACCCCACACAGAGTACAGACAGAAAAAGAAATCTGCAGTGGAAAGGGATTGCAAATATTTGCCTTCATACCATAACACTTCTCTATGGAGAATTTGATTGACTATTGATCCTAAAGACTTTTAAAGCCTTGTTAAGTTTTCACAACTTTGGATATAAATGGTAATATCTCTTGGCACTTGTTCAATGAGCTAAGTGAAACTGATCCAGAGTCAGAAGCTGCCGCATTCCAGGTATGGAGTATTTTGAGCTGTAATTACATAATTCTAATCTTTTTTTTAAAAAAAAGATTTTATTTATTCATTTGACAGAGAGAGAGACAGCGAGAGGGGGAACACAAGCAGGGGGAGTGGGAGAGGGAGAAGCAGGCTTTCTGCCGAGCAGGGAGCCCGATGCGGGGCTTGATCCCAGGACCCTGGGATCACGACCTGAGCCGAAGGCAGACGCTTAACAACTGAGCCACCCAGGCGCCCCTACATAATTCTAATCTTTGGTAGGATATAAAAAAGGTCCTCAAATAGCTATAAGGCAAGTTGATGTGAGTTATTGTGACCTAAGTTTCACTTACAATTCTCAATGATGCTATTCCTAGTTCCCTGCTTGATTTGATTATCTACATGTTTGTTGTTTCTGACAAGTGTAGTAGTTAACACTTTTTAGACAGTTTTCAAATTGAGCAAAAGTTACTTGGTTTTTCATAGGGTTTGTAATGATTATATCCAGGATTGGCATCTACTAGAGGGGAATTTGTTTTTAATCAATATTAAGTTCTTTCTCATTCTGTCAGATTGAATCTTTACTATATACTGTTCAATGTTTTGATCACGGTTGTATCCAAACAATGACCTATACTCTTCCTCTTTGTGGTAATTTTGACACAGGTGACAGTCTCATAAGATAAGTTTGAATGCCAGTATAACCCTTTTAATGGAGAAAGAAGCAGTAAGACTTTGAATACAGAAAGCGTTAACATCAAGGGTAACCAGTTTGGTTATCTATCAAGTTAGGCTTTAGGTTTACTAACAGATGCAGATATACTAAGTGAAAAATAGATTCATTCCTTTGTTTCTTAACATCTAAAACCTCTTGGCTTAGTGGCAGTCCACTTTATCCATTCTATCAGTGATTCTGCTTATCAAATCAGAAATTTGAGTGCTGACATTTCTATCCCATAAAATAGTTGCCAGTTAGATATTACATGATTTCCATGAATTGACAAACTTGTCCTTGAGAAATGAAGGCAAGTTAAAGAGTTTCCCAAGCAAATAAAATCTGAGGGAGTTCATCACCACTATATCTGCCCTAAAAAAATGCTAAAAGGAGTTCTTCAAGCTGAAATGAAAGTGTTAATTGGTAACATAGAAACATATGAAAATATAAAACACAGTGGTAAAGATAAGTATAAAGTGAAATTCAGAATACTCTAAGACTGTAACATGGTGGTGTGTTAATCACTTATCCCCAGTAAAAAGGTTAAAGGACAAAAGTATTACAAATAAGTATGGCTATAATAATTTGTTAATGGATACACAATACAGAGGTAAATTGAAAAATCAAAAACAAATGGGGGAGGGGTAAAAGTGTAGAGTCTTTTTTTTTTTAAGATTTTATTTATTTGACAGAGAGCGCACACAAGCAGGGGGAACAGCAGAGGGAGAGGGCAAAGCAGGCTCCCCGCTGAATAGGGAGCCCCGACATGGAGCTTGATCCCAGGACCTTGAGATCATGACCTGAGCCGAAGGCAGACACTTAACCAACTGAGCCATCAGGTGCCCCAAGAGTCTTTACATGCTATTGAAGTTATCAGCTTAAAATAATCTGTTATGTTTTATGTGAGACTCATGGTAACCACAAAGCAAAAACCTATAGTAGATACTCATAAGATAAAAAGAAGGAAATAAAAGCATACCACTATGGAAATCCATCAGTTTTCAAAGGAAGACCGCAAAAGAGGACAAAAGGAGCAAAGGAACTAAATAACAGTCAGAAAACAATAATATAGCATCAGTAAACCCTTACTGAAAGTCTTTACCTGTTAATATAAATGTAAATGTATTAAATTCTCTAATCAAAAGGCATAGAGTGGCTGAATGGATTAAAAAAAAAAAAAACAAGATCCAACTATATGCTTCCCACAGAGACTCACATCAGCTTCAGGGACCACACAGACTAAAAGTGAAGAGATGGAAAAGGATATTCCGTGCAAATGGAAGGCAAAAGAGAGCAAGAGTAGCTATACTTAAAGTAGACAAAATAGAATTTAAGTCAAAAACCATAATGAGAGACAAAGAAGGTTGTTATAAAATGACAAAGGTGTCAATTCATTAAGAAAATATAATAATCATTAAAAATAGGTACACCCATATTGGAGCATCTAAATATATATTTAAAAATACTAACAGATGTGAAGGGAGAAATAGGTAAAATACAGTAATAATAAGGGATTTTAATATCCCACATTCAACAATGGACGGATCAGCCAAGCAGAAAATCAATTAGGAAACATTGGTTTTAAACTACACTTTAGACCAAATGGACCTAACAGACATATACACAACATTCCATCCAATAGCAGCAGAATACACATTCTTCTCAAGCGCACATTGAACATTCTCCAGAACAGATCATACGTTAGGTCACAAACAAGTCTCAGCAAATTTAAAAGGGCTGAAATCATACAAAATATCTTTCCCAACCACAATGGTATGAAACTAGAAATCATTAACAGTAAGAAAACTGGAAAAAAATCATAGTTCATAAATATTTGTAAATTGAACAACACACTTTTGAACAACCAATGAGCCAAAGGAGAAATCAAAAAGTATCATGAAACAAATGAAAATGAAAACACAACATACCCAAACTATTAGAAACAGCAAAATCAGTACTAAAAGGGAATTTTGTAGAAAAATTTAAGAAAAAGATCTCAAACAACCTAACTTTACACCTCAAGGAACTAGAAAAAGAACTTTGAACAAACTTAGTTCAAAAGTTAGAAAGAAGGAACTAACAAAAGATCAGAGCAGAAAAATGAAATAGAGACCAGAAAAACAATAGAAAAGATCAATGAAACTCAATGTTGTTTTTTTTAAAAAGACAAACAAAAGTGACAAACCTTTAGCTGGACTAAGAAAAAAAAAGAGTG